TGAAGATCTCTTCCCCAGACCCATGTATTTAGCTAGTTCTGAGAGAAGAATCAACATGCTGCATAACAAGATAAACCATAACACCTCTATCAGCTGATGCCAACAGGCAGGAACAGGGAGACAAAACACTGAGAGCAGCCAGAGGTCACAGGCCTGTGCTCAGTGAGTACCGTAATTTTCGGACTATAAGGCGCACCTGAATATAAGCCGCAGCAGCGGCATACCACTCTCGGTTCCACTTTTACTTTTGCACGCTACCTGTCTCACTCTTTTCCGGCCTCCAGCTTTTCCTGCTGGAACCCGCCGCTTAAAGGTGGGGGTCCGCGGACCGGCCATAGAGCCCATAGAGTTAAAGGTGTTGGTCGTTAGCTGTAAAAATCCATAGATTAGCCGCACCGTTATATAAGCCGCAGCGTCGAAAAATAGGGAAAAAGGCGCGGCTTATAGTCCGAAAATTACGGTACATATTGATAAACTGGGTCAAAGGTGGGGGCCTAGGGAAATATTTCTCCAACATTCGTCTCTGTGTGTTCTTATAATAGAAACATGCATTTCCAAGCATTTGGACTACCTATGTTGTAAATGCATTATCTTTTCAATTTACATTTACACATTGCACACCTGTCTGTCCTGGGAGAGGGATCCCTCCTCTGTTGCTCTCCCTGAGGTTTCTCCCATGTTGCCCTTTAAACTGTGGGGTTTCTTTGGGGGTGTTTCCCTGTCTGATGTGAGGGTCTAAGGACAGAGGGTGTTGTATTGTCATACTGATATTCTGTACAAATTGGAAAGTCCACTGAGACAGATGTAACATGTGATGTTGGGCTATATAAATAAACATTGATTGATTGTGTCCTCAGCTCTCTGTGCTGCAGGCCGGCTCTCTGGGGGTGAACAGCTGTAACGTGGACGGCTTCTCTCCTCTTCACGTCGCTGCGTTGCACGGACACGCGCCGCTGCTCGCTCTGCTGATCCGACACGGAGCCAACGTCAACGCCAGAAACAACCACAGCGCCACGCCGCTGCACCTGGCCGCCCAGAACAGCCACGTCCAGGTAGGAAGACGCAGAAAACCAGGGCTCCAAATATATTTTTTTAAAAGTACCTTTACTCTAGTACTCTACTGAAGTTACCCTCCTGTGTCATGCTCCCTGATAATGATACACTTTCTGCAGCGGGCTGTTATATAGAAGTGAGTCAACAGCAACCCTGATGTGTATCAAGTTTCTGTCTCTGCAGGAAACAGGAAGTGTGCTGCGTTTATTCAGCCACTCACTGGCACCATCTTGTGGCAGAAAGACATCAGTGCAATTCAAATAAAATGCATTTAATACCTTTTATTTTCTCTGATCACAAAATAATGAATAATAATAATTACAATTAATTAAGAATAATGATTATAATAGTTGAAACAATTATAATAATGATTAGGATCATTTAAAAATGCATTTATAATAAACATAACAATTATAATAGTACATTATATTTCCAGAGTTATTTTCATGGCATGTAAAAACCCTTCACATGAACAAGTAGAAAATACCATAGAGAGAGAAATAAGCTTTTTGTCTGCATTAAAAAATATATATATATTTCATCGCGTACATATTTTGGTTCATTTTATGTCCAGGTGTTTACAGTTTCATTGTGTTTAGTTGTTTAGTCTTTCTGAAATGTGCGACTTCCTGTTTCAGGTGATGAGGTTCCTGTTGGAGTGCAACGCCAAACTGAACAAGAAGGATCACTATGGAAACACGCCGCTCATCCAGGCCTGTCTGTGTGGGAACCTGGAGACCGCCAGCACCTTGTTACAGGTACACACAGATTTTTATTTATGTACATCTTTCACATCTTTTTTCATTAAGCCTAAAGAAATTGTTTCCACATTTTAGACGTAATTTTTCTAACGTTTTTTCGGGTATCGTCAAACTTTATTTGCTGTTGGCTAGCTTAATCTGCAGAGGAACACACACTCTGAACGCACCTGAACTTACTCTGAACACACCTAACACACTCTGAAGGGACACCAGATGGAAGACACACACACACACACACACACACACACACACACACACACACACACACACACACACACACACACACACACACACACAACGCACCTGAACACACTCTGAACGCAATCCACAGGAGAGAAACCAGACGAAGACACACACTGAGAGAACTCTTGCATAATATTCCAGAAATGTGTGTGTGTGTGTGTGCATGCAGAGCAATGCGTTGGTGAACGTGGTGAACCAGCAGGGGAACACGGCGCTGCACGAGGCGGTGCGAGGGGGGCAGCAGGCGCTGGTGGAGCTGCTGCTGAGGGGGGGGGCGGCGCCGGGCCTCAGGAACAAGAGGCAGAGGACAGCGCTGGAATGCGCCTACGAGCTGGGAGGCAAGGTGACGATACACACACACACACACACACACACACATATTTATGCTACTTTTAGCTCAAATGCCGAAAATTAGTTGTTTACCTTTAATAAAATACACTCTAGGCTATGCTTATTTTATATATCTGAAATTCCCACTTCTTTTCAATCAAGCTGAAGACTTTTCTGTTTGCCTTTTTATTAAATCAAATATAACAATTGTGTGATTCATATCTTATACCTGTCTTATTACTTCTTAGCTTGGTTCTATTGACATTTTCTTGTTTTTTTGATAATGAGGTTATTAAAAGTCAGACAATAGAATGTTTTGTCAGTCCGAAACACAAGGTTAATAACTTTAATATGATATAAATAGAGAAAACGTCATAACAAAACATTTGGTAATTAATTTTCAGCCCTTGTAAAGATGTTTGTAAATTTCATCTACATTTTTTAACATCTTCCTCCTTCAGAACACGGAGATCCTGAGAGCTCTGCAGCAAGCGTCCGGACTTTCTCCCGACGCTGAGCCAATCAAACTCCTCTCTGTGCCCAAAGGCGCTCTGGGTAATTCATATCAGCATTGCTTTAATAACGTTGTTCACGTCCAAAAGAAAATAACTTTCATTTTAAGCTTTGCACCAAAATGCTTACAACATACTGAATGTCTGATTTATTTCCAGCTTGTTAATAGAAGTATTTGAAGTGTCTCTCTGTACATTTCTAGCCAAACTGTTTAATTTAAAGTCTGTTATTATTATTATTTAGGATTTAATTTCTCGTTGTCTCTACAGCTCATTCCTTCGTGCAGCGTCTGCGGCTTCATGATCAAGCAAACGGCCGGAGACAGAAACTAGCTCAGTCCATCAGCAGGTAGCTCTAAAAGATCAGCTCTCAGATAATCCAAATATAAGAAATAAGATTTTGAGTCATTTTAATATCTGTGCTTTGATTCAGGATGAATCAGATGAAGAAAGGATCGTCCAGGTGTTCACCGAACCTCAACCAGGTACATTTGAGTTTATTTTAACTTTTATAATCCCTCACTACATGCCACACCAAAATAACTGGTTTCACGTGTAAAACATAACAATGGAATGCATGGTATAGAGCGGTGCAGTGATGCGTCCTAAAACCCTGAAGGAAGCTGCTGGTCCCCTCGACAAAAAAGCAACAGGATTTCTCCATAGGATTTGGAATATTGTAAAAAATAAGGTCTGTGGAAAACGAACCTGTTTGATAAATGAACGTTTTGTTCAACTGGATAATCTCCACATGTCTACTTTTATAATTTTAGAATCCTAAATCTAATGGCTAGAACGTTATGCTATAAAGGAACTACAGCCGAGACCAGCAGCACGACTTCAACGTCACGCCAACTTAAGATCCATATTCAAACATACAGATTCTGAATGGAACAAGTTGAAGCGTTAGTTTGAACAGCTTGCAGGAGGCAGGGACTTGCTTTCAAGCAGAACAGAAACTAACTTAGAGGAGTGTTTACGTGTTCGGTGTAATGACGTACAACGTCCTCCACAACTTCTGTAGTCCTATTCAGCCACTTGGTAACAACCATCGTTTTTCACGTAAACTCTTCAAAAATCACCAGTGGGGTCACTGCTGATGGATTTAATGTCGTAGAACAAAACGTGATCCGTCTCTTCAATGTGTCTCAACCACAGACCATATTTTCCAAAATCCTATGGATAAATCCCATTACCACTTCTGACGAGGGAACAGGAAGTGGAGAAATGCTAAATCCCTTCCTGGTTTTAGGACTCATTCCTACACCACTCTATTGGCTATATAAAAAAGAAAATGTAAGGAACATTAAAGATTTTCCTGGCTAAAAATGTTATTTCTAACCGTTTAAATCATTTATACAAAAGAGAAAATGGATAAACATGATTTAATTTATTCTTGTCAACACAATCCAAATCTATAAAATGTAAATACAATTTAAATAAATTACTCCCGGTTTTCTGGTCTGATTTGGATTTTCCTTCCTCAGGAGAGTCCGGAGAGGAGGAGGCTGAGGAGGGGGGAGACCCTGGAGGTCAGCAGCCCCTCAGCGAGCCTCGATGGTGGGGCTCGGATCAGGGAGAGGCCCCTGGGTCGCTGGCACACCCTGGACTCAGGAGAACACACAGAGGAACACACAAACACTCTGAACGCTCCAGAACACACTCAGAACGCTCCTGAACACACTCAGAACGCTCCAGAACACACTCTGAACGCACCTGAACACGCTCAGAACGCACCTGAACTTGCTCAGAACGCACCTGAACACACTCAGAACGCACCTGAACTTGCTCAGAACGCACCTGAACACGCTCAGAACGCACCTGAACTCACTCAGAACGCACCAGAACACACTCAGAACGCACCTGAACACAATCAGACTCCAGAACACACTCAGAACGCTCCAGAACACACTCTGAACGCTCCTGAACACACTCTGAACGCTCCTGAACACACTCAGAACGCTCCAGAACACACTCTGAACGCTCCTGAACACACTCAGAACCCTCCAGAACTCACTCAGAACGCTCCAGAACACACTCTGAACGCTCCTGAACACACTCTGAACGCTCCAGAACACACTCAGAACGCTCCTGAACACACTCAGAACGCTCCAGAACACACTCTGAACGCTCCTGAACACACTCAGAACGCTCCTGAACACACTCAGAAGGCTCCTGAACACACTCAGAACGTTCCAGAACACACTCAGAACGCTCCAGAACACACTCAGAACGCACCTGAACACACTCAGAACGCTCCTGAACACACTCTGAACGCTCCTGAACACACTCAGAACGCTCCAGAACACAATCAGAACGCTCCAGAACTCACTCAGAACGCTCCTGAACACACTCCACAGGAGAGACACCAGACGGAAGACACACACACCGAGGACACTGACGTCTGCAGCGTCAGCAGTGAGAACTCTTCTGAAAACCCCCCTACACACACTTCATCTGAACCCCTTCCCACACACACTTCATCTACACACACCTCATCTACTGAAGCCCCTCCTGCACACACTTCTTCTGAATCTCCTCTTACACACAACTCGTCTACAGACCCTCCTACACACACCTCATCTGAAAACCCTCCGACACACACCTCATCTGAAAACCCTCCTACACACACCTCATCTGAAAACCCTCCTACACACACCTCATCTGAAAACCCTCCTACACACACCTCATCTGAACCTCTTCCTACACACACCTCACCTGAAAACCCTCCTACACACACCTCACCTGAAAACCCTCCTACACACACCTCATCTGAATCTCCTCCCTCACACACCTCAAACACTTCTCCTGACCACACAGAGGATTCTCCCCCCACCAGTCTCCACCCTCTAAATGGAGAGTTGGAGTCATGTGGCGACCAACGTCCGTCAGAAAAAGAGGGCGGGGCTTCCTGTCCCACCTCCATCCCGACCAATGGACGAGGAGAGTCAGGTCGTGGAGGTGGTGAATGAAAAGGAGGAGTAACCAGTCGTCTGGTTTCTCCTTCCCTCGATGTAAGACTGCAAAAGCCCTGAGAGGCAAACGAGGAAATACGAATTATGGGAGGGTTTTTTTTTCAATCCTGGTCTAAAGTTTTCTCTCCTGTGTTTATGACTGAATAACAGGTGGCAAATAAAAGTTTTTGCCAGGATTATCTCCTTAAAAAATCTTCTTTTAAATACTCAAAATAGTAATTTATTAATTAAATGTAGTCTTATTATTAAAAATCGAAAATATATTATTATTTTTATTAATAATTACTATTGTTTAGAAGAATTGCATAGCGATAATATTGCTTTATTTAATAATAATAAAGCATTATTTTACATTTTTAAAGCGCTTGTTATAATACTCACTTTGGCCACCAGAGGCTCCAATTCTGCACACCACTACCAGCTGATTAACGCGGATTAAAATACATTTCTAGCCAAAATAAACACATGACAGTATTATAACTTGACTTGCAATAGCCTATTGTATATATAGCAGTATTTGGAGAAACTAAAACATTATAAATACTTTAATATTCAGAACGTAGCGTCGTGAGCGCACCGATCAACCTCTTGAGGCCAAAAACAGTATTACAACAACAAACACCTAAACAAAAATTATTAATCACCTTCCAAAACTTATTTTTCCTCCGGTTTTCAACATCTCTTTTAGATAAATGATCTTGGCAAAAGCTTTTCCTGGCAACAACTTTATTTGTAACCCTTTAAATCAGACATACATGAGAAAAAGTATTGGATCAGACTTTAGAAAATGGATCGACACCCTTTTTTTTCTGCTCATACAGACGCCAAAAACTAAAAGCACACAGTTTGAGATCAGATGATGAAGCTGCCTCTTATAGTCGCTGTATCTCCGGTAGAAAACCACTGACTGTTGATGCTTATGACTGTATTTTAACCCATTTGATTCCAACATGTTTGTGTAACTGATGCTGCATTCGGGTTTTTCAAGTTTCTGCAGAAATGCAATTAGATCTCGTTGGTCTTATCCACCAGGCGGGATAAAGTCCTCCACTCCTCTTCCTCTCTTCTCTTGAGTTTGAAGCACTTTCTTGTCTTTACAAAATTTGAAAAAGGGATGCAAACGGACATGAAAACGGTTTGCTTTAGAGTTCAGCCGTTAGCCTGTAGCCCTGTCAGACTTTAGTGGGAAAACATGTAGTTTTACTTGAATTTTTCAGTATTCAAATGTTGATTTGAAGTTTGGTTTGTTTGTTATTTTTGCCCGTTTAACATCCAACTACTCCACTTATATTTTTATTAGGATTATTTTTATTTATTTATGACCCCTTGTTGATGTGTCTTGTGTTCAGAGAGGTAGATTTTTTTCCTGAATGTCAAAAATTTGTGTTTTCTGCTCAGATATAGTTCAGGTTAAAGGATCACACTGCTGGTTTTTAATGTTTTATATCCCATTAAATACAATTATTATATTTTTTTGCATCAATGCTACTAACTATTTATAAAATCATACTGAAATATTTTGGGTTAATTCCCTTGTTTTACAATAAAAATCTTACTTTGATTTGAAAAATGCTGCAGATTTCTTTAGTTATTTTCATATAAATATATTCATTTATTTCACCAGGAACCTGTCTGCAGCGTCAGCAGTGAGCTCTCTTCTGAACCCCCCCCCCACACATACTTCATCTACTAAAGCCCCTCCTAGACACACTTCATCTAGCATAATGCAAAGTGTAAAGACAATGACAGGCATGATTTGAATATTTAACCGTCCATAATTTGCATTTGAAGGACTTGCTCTCAGATATATGCACAGCAGTAGATATAATAAACAAGAACAGATTTACCATGAATTCATGCCAGCCCTGTGGGTGTTATAACAAACTGCAGCCTGATGCATGCTTCTTAGAAATGACTGTATGACCAGTCTGATACTGAAACTAATGACATGAATGCATGAGTTAAATAAACTCTTAATCTCCTATACTTCACATATCTACACTTTTGTAGTGAAAAGTGATTAAGGGCTACTCTATCTGACTAATGTGCTTATGTGAAGCCGACAATTGAGCGGCCCGACCAAGCAAGGAGGCAGAGGCAGAACGTCCAAAAATATAACCCGGTGTGGGCATTTATTAAACTCGAGCACAGGACACNTGGTGTTTTTATACCTAGGAACTACAGCACGGTCACATGACTTCACCTCAGCTGTAGTTCCTTTATAGCCCAACATTAGCCACCTTTAGCTTAGCGGTGGTGAGGTGAAGTCATGTGACCGTGCTGTAGTTCCTAGGTATAAAAACACCAAATCTACGTGTTTAACTTTCAACACATCAGAGTTGGTCTCTTACTTTCTGAGTGGGAGCGCAGTTTGGACACTGACACAGCGGATGGCAAAGCAGAACCTCTGACCGAAGATCCTCTTCATCATCCTCTTCCTCATCCATCCACTCCAACAAGTAACGCACCTTAACACAAACACACGAAAACAGCAGTTATTAATGAGACCACTCTTCCAGATGTGGATGTTCAGAAGCAGAAAATGCTTTAACTTCTCACCATCTCCACATCGCCGTCTGCTATGGCACGCAGCAGCTTCTCCACCTGTCAATAACACACACACACACAGTCAGATTTGTGTGCATGTAAATGGTCTGCAAAGGCTAACATCCCAAAGTTCCCTTCAGAGGGAGTTTTTAGCTGGTTTAGCCTGAGTGTATCTCCTCTTTTACTCTTTGGGTTGTCTTTATGTATTGTATGTGCATTAACATGGGATTTATGTTACGTGTAACCCCTCTTCAACCAGGACCTCCTGTTGTTTCTGAGATAAGAAAGTCTCTATTGGCAGTTTAAAGGATCGTCCTGTAGTTTGTGGGTGTTTTACGTTGTGTGACGTTGTGTTACATTATGTGACGTTGTGTTACGTTGTGTGACATTGTGTGACGTTGTGTTACGTTATGTGACATTGTGTGACATTGTGTGACGTTGTGTGACGTTGTGTTGTGTGACGTTGTGTTGTGTGACGTTGTGTTACATTATGTGACATTGTGTTAAGTTGTGTGACATTGTGTTGTGTTACGTTGTATTGTGTTACATTATGTTGTGTGACAATGTGTGACGTTGTGTGACAATGTGTTACGTTGTGTGACGTTGTGTTACGTTGTGTTACATTGTGTGACGTTGTGTTACGTTGTGTTACGTTGTGTTACGTTGTGTTACGTTGTGTTACATTGTGTGACGTTGTGTTACGTTGTGTTACGTTGTGTTACGTTGTGTTACGTTGTGTTACGTTGTGTTACATTGTGTGACGTTGTGTTACGTTGTGTTACGTTGTGTTACGTTGTGTTACGTTGTGTGACGTTGTGTGACGTTACGTTGTGTTACGTCACGTTGTGTTACGTCACGTTGTGTGACGTTGTGTGACATTGTGTTATGTAGTGTTACGCTCTGTGACGTTGTGTGACATTGTGTGACATTGTGTGACATTGTGTTAAGTTGTGTGACATTGTGTGACGTTGTGTTGTGTTACGTTGTGTGACGTTGTATTGTGTTACTATTATGTTGTGTTACGTTGTGTGTACAATGTGTGACGTTGTGTTACGTTGTGTTACGTTGTGTTACATTGTGTTACGTTGTGTTACATTGTGTGACGTTGTGTTACGTTGTGTTACGTTGTGTTACGTTACGTTGTGTTACGTTACGTTGTGTTACGTTGTGTTACGTTGTGTTACGTTACGTTGTGTGACATTGTGTTATGTAGTGTTACGCTCTGTGACGTTGTGTGACATTGTGTTACGTTGTGTTACCTCTCGGTGTCGGACCCTGACTCCCACCGGTTTGATTTCAGAGTTCAGAGAGGACTCGCTGGAGGCGGAGGATCGCCGGCTGCTGCAGTCTGAAGCCAGAGGAGAGCGACTGGGCGACTGAGGAGACGAGGATATATCAATATATACGAGGACATACAGATCAACACAAGTTTTTCCCCTTTTTGAAGCAACATTTAAAGAGTTTTCTAGCTTCCAAGAGCTCTGCACTGGCTCCAATAACTCAAAGGATAGACTTTAACATTCTACTTTCAACTTATGTGAAATGAACCACAATACAAACACCAATTCTATGAGGCAGCTTTTAGTTTCTTTGCTCCGCAGATCTGGAACAAACCTCCTGAGAATCTAACGTCCGACAGAACCATGCTGGGTTCTTTTATAACGAGGCTGAAAACTCTTTAATGCTGCTTCTCCAGAGGTCATCTTAGCCATTCTTGAAGCATTACCTGTATTCACCATTTCACAACACATTTTTTAACTGTTTTATGAATTGTGTTTTTGTTCACTTTAGTTATTTTTTGATGATGTGTTTCTGCCTTTGTAAAGCACTTTGAATTGCCTTTGTGTCTGAAATGTGCTAATTCAATAAAGTAGCCTTAGTAAAATCTCCATTATCCCCGTGGAGGATTTGGTTCTGTAGAAAAGAAATGGAATAAAAAAATAAGTTCAGAGATTAATAAACTCACATCGACTCCGCTGCTGCTGCGCTGACAGCTCCGAGTCGACTGCAGCAACACCAGGATCTACAAGAAGCACACACACACACACACACACACACACACACACACACACACACACACACACACACACACACACACACACACACACACACACACACACACACACACACACACTACACACACACACACACACACACACACACACACACCAGCAGCAGCAGCAGCAGCAGATTAAAGAAACGTCAGAGCTCTGAAACATGTCGGATTGGATAAAGTGAACTCTCTCTGATTGTTTTTTTCCTTTGATGGTCTGCAGCAGCTCGTATTAAATCTCTCTGTGGGTCAGATCCCATTTTCATCAAAGCTAAACTCACGTAGCAATTTTAAAGAGTATGTTTTCAACCTTTAAAAAAAAGTATTTATTGATTTTTAGATGACATTAAAATGAACATTTAGTTAGTTAGAAAATTGCTGACCTTTGAGTTAAGAGCACATGAATGAAACCGTCTATTGTGTCCTCATATATGTCCGGCAGTGGCTCAGTCTGTAGGGACTTGGGACACTAAGGGTCACCGGTTCAAGTCCCCAAACAGACCTTAATATGGAGAGTGAACTGGTACTTTCACTTTCACTGTGTGTGCTCTGCTGTGTGTTCATATGTGACAAATAAAGAGGGTTTCATCCTGCATTACTAATATCTTTACATTTCTCAGGATGTATAATAACTACTGCAATACGTAACAATGTATTTATACATTTAGGGTGATTTATTACATGACATTCACGCTGTTGATGACTTAATGACACTAAAAGGAACATTTAGTCCCCTGTTTGTCACTTGCTGACCTTGAGGTTGCACACAGTGGAAACCCCAGCATTTTGAAATGATATATTTCCAGATGTAGGGAGATTTACAACAGAATGATCCGGCTGTTGATAACTTGATGACATTAAAAATAACGTTTAGTTCCCTGTTTAACGTGATGAGCGCATATAAATAAAACGTGTATTTTGTTTGTTTATTACATGTGTGTATTACAGAGCGTTAGGCTGTTCCTTTATTTGATTTTGAAGACCCTCATAAGTCTTTAAACCTGGAATGAGTCAGCATGTTAGCACTTTCTGTTCACTAGTCTGGAAGTCAATGGTTTTAGAAAGTGGTTTTGGTTGTTATCCTGAAATAAGGTCTGTGGTTAATCAACACAAGCTAAAGAGATTTTTGTCCTACAACATAAAATACGTCAGTAAATACCCCACTGGTGAACATTAGCTGCCTTTAACTTAGCGGTGGTGACGTGAAGTCATGTGACCGTGCTGTAGTTCCTTTATAGCCCAACATTAACAGCGCCTCACCTTGCTCAAAGGACTCAGAGAACTCCACTTTCCAAAGCTATGATGCTGCCAGTCAACAACATTTTACCCCAGATGGGACTCGAACCCACAA